CTCCTCCCCCCCCCCTAAATTCCCCTGTCTAAGACGGAATTTTTTTCCCGCTCCCTTGCTATTCCGTCTTACGCAGGTTCGACTGTACTTCCTGCTTCAATGCAGCATTAAAAATTTTATTTCTATCTTGCAGAAACAAAACTTCACAAACAGGAAGGGGAGTTTTCAGCAAAAAATATGGTAATTTAGCCCTCAAAACAGTGTATCTGCGTGTGGGCCCGAAGGTACACATTTACTGGGAAAGCTTGATAGATATTATGACATTATCTCTCAAGGATAATTCAATTATAACATAAATAATTCATGCTATGACTGCCCAGATAATTTTGAGGCAAACTCAAGTTAGAAAGAGTATTCATTGCTTTGCCCCATGCACACTTCATTGCAAAGAATCAGATTTTTTAAATTTTGTGCCTACATTAACAACAAAACTTGCAACACAGCAAGAAGGCAAACAACTGTGTCCATGAACACTGAATATCAGAAAACAAATTTGTTGTCTTTGACCAATTAGACTTGATACTTCATTTTGCCACCTAATATAGTAGGCCTACACCTTTTGATTACAATGGTGTCTTCTAATCCTATTATGTTCCTTTCATTCATGTAATCATTACTCTGTCTCTTAATGTTATAAACCATGCAATATATACTGCACATACTTTCCCGAAAATGGTTAGATCAACTGAGGTATCAAAACCATGTTCATTTCGTTGACCACATGAGCACTAACACCTATCATAAGTAAATTTAAAGTCATTTCTTTGCTGTGTAAAAAGTGTCAGTAACCAAATTATAAACAAAACTATATCTAAACATTCTGAGAAACTCTCCCAGCAAACCAGCAACCTGATTTGGAATGAGGGTATACCCAGCAGATGTGTACAAAATTTGAAACCCCCCTCCGTTGACCCAGCCACCATGCAACTTATGAACTCTCACTCCGTGCCTTTTTAAAACCAAAGGGCAGTGAGATCAAATTTCTTTCTTAGTTTGCCAGTAGTCAAAACAAATTCCATTGTTTTTTAGGGCCTGTCTCAAGCTTACCTATTTTTACAAATTTACTAAATATCGTTGGCAGAGGAAAACATATATCAATGCCCATCAAAATCTTTTATTACACTTCAAAGTAATAAGTTCCATCTATCCTGGGGAGCCCCCCACCCCCTCTGATTACAGTCAGTGCAAGGTTTAGGGTAAAAGCTAGGTTTATAGCTAGCTAGGGCTGAGGCAACCGTTAGAGTTAAGGTTTGAGCTTGGTTTAGGGAAGGACTTCTGTAACGAGCGACCACCCCAACTAACCTTAACCCCCTAACTCTGACCATACCCCTTACCCCAACCTGGACCCTAACCCTCTATTCTATACTATTTCATAGTGGTCGTTACGGGATTCTTCCCTGGTTTAGTATTAGCGTTGGGGTAAGGTTAGGGTTAGGGTCATAGGGGCCTAATCTAGATTTCATAGTACAGTCAAACCTGCCTTAACCGAAACCTGTATAAAACGGAAACCTGTCTTAACGGAATCTCCCCGCTCCCCCCTTGATATATTCCTCTTTAATTACCTGTATAAAACAGAAACCTGTCCAATGCGGAAACCGAAAGAAAAATCCGCTCCCTCCCAAGGATTTCACCTGTCTAAGACAGAAAATGATAAGCCCGTTCAGCCCTGATTTGAAACTTAAGGCCAAGGTCGGCAGTGAGAATGGAATTATATTTCCTTCAATTTTATGATTTTCTGTTTATGCACAATTATTATTCTATATCCACTTGCTCATCTTGGGAAATACATTCTAGAGCCTAAAACTGTCTATAAGTCCATGAAAATGCAACCTACAGACAGGAAGGCAATCACATAACTCACAGTTTGTGCTAAAAGTACGGCTAAAATAGGCCTTTATTACGCCGGTAAAAATAAACGCTACAGTGTAAAATTTGGTCTCCATACAAAGGTCATCTTCTCCTCCTCACGCTACAATCTGCCTCGACCTTCTGAGTTGTTATTTTCCATCACAAAATTCATGCCACTCAAAATGCAAATGAGTCTTCATAGCGTCAAACGAAGCCATTGCTCGAAGGTTAAGTTTACCTCTTCCAAGAGCTGTATGGTCAGAGAGAGAGAACCAATTCAGCTTGGGGACATAACGGGCAGCAATTCGGATTGCTTGAAGTCAAAGGTATGAGGAGGAGAAACTGTCTAAGAGAAGGTCTTTGAGGCACATGGCATGAACTAGAAGGGAGAGGGAGTTGGAAGAACTTGAGGGTGGTCCAAGCCATGCTGCTGGCTCATTTTAAATTGTTTTTTCGGGTTGGAAACATGACAACAGGAGGCAAGTGCACTTTTGCAATAAAAGCTTATTTTCACAAAAACCAATTTCTCTGCATTTGAAGTTACAAATCTCCTATGTGGTTTGTGTGACATGCTTTAAATTTACACCATGTGTTTACTAGCATCAAATACAAATTTTGCCTCATTCATATGTATATATTATGGTCAACATTTTTTAAAAACAATTTTTTAATGTTAGGGGAGAGCATAATATACAAACACAAGTTTCAAAACATCGTAAAAAATACAGCTATTGATTTAGTGAACTGAAAGTCGGACAAAATGTGCATGATGTTAACGATAGTATGTGTGCCAACTTTCATGACTGTTGGGTGGATAACGAAAGAAAAATGTTCCATGGAAATATACTTTAAAAATCCAAGATGGCGGCTGTTTTTTCCCATTTCCATGGCAACCAAAGCATTTTTTGAAAAATGAAATGTATCAAATGTGAAGAAAATCTCTGTGGGGTATGGTTATAACAAGTAAGTACATGGGAAGTTACCCGTCTAGCTTTTAGTTTTCGCTGTAGACCTTGGCCTTAACTCGCAAGTTTGGTTCCGCCGGCTCTAACTTAACGCCATGGCCATGCCGCTGGGGGAGGAAGGGGAGTAGGGGTGCAATTTGGGGGTAGATGTTACCCCATCATATGAGCCCTTAGCGATGCAGATGGTTAGGATGGTGTAGGTGTGAAATCTCACGACTGCCCGTGAGAGTGCTGGAGTAGTGCGCCACTACGGAAACTTTTCTCGGTAGCCAGAAGCCTGAGGTGTGAAGTTAGATTGACCAATGCCGGCCGCCCTGATCGTACGACCAGCCAAGAAAAGAGTTCCTCAAATCGTTGTTACGTGATGGCAGTGAGGGATTGCATTGGTTGACTGTACTTGTTACATCGATGGGTGGGGTTAAGGGTGGAAGCAAAGGAGATGTTCAAACGTTTCTGTTTTTAATAGGCCAAACAGCGGTTCTATGTAAGGCAAGCACTGGTGGTAAGTAAGACTGACACATGTCATTATCAGACAGGATAGCAATTGACAGGTGTGAAGTTTTGACCACTGCTTGCCGATCGGACAAGCGATCCTTGATCCCACCGGCTGGGCCTTTGAACCCCCCCCCCCCCCTTCATCTCCCCCCATCTAAGACGAAATTTTTTTCTGGCCCCCTTGCGATCTGTCTTAAACAGGTTCGACTGTAGTTGCTTATTATGGAAGTCCTTCCTATAGCCGGATGAGACCAGAAGATACCACTCAATTTTGACAAAAATGCAAAAAATAGAATGATTTAGGCTTCAACTGTATTTCATCCTGTCAGTAAATATAAACCAATCTGATGTACAGTTTTGCCAGAGTCTTAATTCTCAATGTTACGAGTAGGTCCAACAAGGTTCCCTCTTCACACAGTGCTTTTTAAAACTCTTTATCTCCGAGGGAGGTAAACCCACTATGCTAGGGCTCTTTTTTGGTACTAAATCTAAAAATGACAAAAACGTCACTAAATGAGTCATTAAATCGAAACTAGCGAACCTGTTATGTATGATAGTACTGTATCTAATGAATAAACTTCCGGTAAAAGAAACCTGTTTTCGGCAATCGAAAAGTAATTTGATGTTAAGTCGTTGTAAAGGAATGTGCCCGAGCCGCTGTCAGCAGCTCACCAGTTCCGACCACGAGCTGCTGAGAGCGGCTTGCTGGAGATAAAGAGCTAAAATTCTATTTTTCTCTAGCTCTCAGCCAGTGATAAGCTCGAAAAACCTGTACTATCTCTTATTCTGTGTTGACAGTATTTATGTGAAAGGGTGAGTATGATTTTGCATTGCTCGAAAGAAAAAAAATACGAATACCCTGTGCCCACTGGCACAATCGCTTTGGTTTGGTAGCAAGGGATAGCCAGATTGAGGGAGCAAAGTGACCATTGTGGCACAAACTGATCGTCTAATTCATGGCCTCAAAAGCAAACGCATTTGTTTTCAAGACTGTGAGTCCGACAATTGGTTTGTATTAACGATCCCCGATGGGCACTGGGTATTTAAAAAATTGATATAATTTACAAATGTAGGCAAAAATATAGCAAAAGTAAAAAAAAAAATGTATCATTCAACAGTAAAATAATACAACTATTTGTGTATGGTTGGGTGGTTAAGTCTCTTACGTCCTAGCCTTTATAACTGAACATTTTAGGGTAATCAGTCCTACACAAGTAAAGTGCTTTGACAGAAGAAAAATAAAAGAGTGTTTGCAAACATCCAGGTGTATAACAAAAAGATATTAAGTTTTCTTACTTTTGTAGGTAACACGCTCTCCACTAACCACTAGTAAAGGTCTTTGCAGTGCATGAAAGCTGCAAAAAATTTCCAGAAGGATTTTCGTAATTAACTAACACCCCAACAAACAATAAAAAAAAGATACCTAAATCAAGCCCTAACCCTACCCAAAACCTAAACTCTACCCCTGTCCCTCTGTTCTACTCTATCTTATAGTGGTTGCTCGTTACGGAAGTCCTCCAAAAATTCCTGTTTTCTACACACATTGTTCAATTTGAGATTTAAATTTAAAAGAAAAATCACTCTGTATAATGACTAAATTCAACAAGTCAGTCTGCATTCTTAACACTGAGGCTGAGGGTCCCTACACAAGCGGATAGTTAGAGAACGGTAGGAGTACGCCATTGGCCAATATTTATAGTAACAGTCATCTTGTTTGACCTATTCTTTAACATACGACACATGATAATATTTTTATAATGAGCATTACCATAACACTTTGCTAAAATGAAAAAAAAGCTTTCTTTTTTTACTCCTCATTTTTTTTTTTCGAAGTGACTATTTTTCCAAAAGCTAGGGAAAATAAAATTGACCTCTTTCTCCGAACGGCTTTCATTCTCGAGATTATTTGATTATTTGCGAGAGTTCGGCATCATCTTTCAATAGACTGCCATTCTGTGAGGACTGGAAAGAAGCATTCAATTTCTAGAGCTAGAGATTCTTAGATGTCTGAATATTCAGACAGAGATCTACAGCAATTGTGGTTGGGGCAACGTTCCCGGACTATACTTCATTTAAAAATGCCTTCAAAAGGTACTGCAAGAAAACAAAACTGCTCGACTTTAGCAGTAACTTATTTTATTTAATCACCCTTAAATAACAAAAAAATACCTTCACCCCCCCCCTCCGGTCACACCTTAAACACACACACACAGGAACACTAACTCTCACTCACTCACACACACCCACACTACACACACGAACACTCACATGCGCGCGTGCGGGCCACTGCATTCGCAAATTAACAAAAAATCTCGAGAACAGAAACTGTTCGGAGAAATAGAGTTCAAGTTTATTTTCCCGACTGTTCAGAGAAATAGAGCCGGGGTTTTTTTTGGGTAGTGTCAATTGCCACCAAGTGACACGGTGACAGTTGACGCCAACGTCAATTGACACCAAGTAAATTGGAGCTCTTATTTGCATTGGTGAGTAAATCTAGCCTATGTGTGCTCTGTGTTCATGAATTTCCACTTACAACACACGCCTCTCTGTCCCTCTGTGTGTGTGTGTGTGTGTGTGTGTGTGTGTGTGTGTGTGTGTGTGTGTGTGTGTGTGTGTGTGTGTGTGTGTGTGTGTGTGTGTGTGTGTGTGTTTGTGTCTCTCTCGCTCTCCCCCAACCCCCGTCCCCCGGATTTATGTTCCCCGATATATATTAAGCGTATTTCTGCTTGAGTTTGTGTGCATTTGTGGCCTACTTCTAGAATCGCCTGTGTTGGTTCTACGCCAAAGCGTAGGCTAGCCTACGTCTCATTCAAAACACGCCAAGTTGAAGCTGATAGCTCTAGATGAAATTAGAGAACAAATTGACCCACTTAGACGTGAGAAGCACGAAAGGAGAGCCAGGAAACAAGACTACAATTTTACTGTACACAAAATCTTTCATGAACTTGAACTTGATTACCTGATAAAAATGAGTTTATAGTTTATAGATCTAGTTATGAATACCATTGTGTAGGCAAAAAGAAAAATTTGAGTACAAAACGTACAGAAATTGACCCTATAACTCTATTTCCTTTCGAACCCAGGAATGTGTGCAACTATGACTTATCAACTAGATCTAGATCTAGATCTAATGAGAGGGGGTTAGATTTAACTTATTCATGATGCCATGTGTTCGTAACACATATGAATAAAAAGCTAAAGATAGAGCGTTGTTTTCAGACTTGACACCGCTTCACTCTGTGGCGATTGACGCTACCTTTTTTTTCTTCAGATCAGACAGTGAGACAGTAGATCTAGATCTAGATCTACATCTAGGTCTCGAACTTCTTTTATTTTTTGTCAGAAAGAAGAACATTAGTTTAAGACACAAACGAGATGGCTGTTACTTTGAATATCGGCCAATGGTGTACTCAGGCTAACGTTCTCTAGATCTAGATCCAACTATCCTCTTGTGGTCCCTACTCCTACTTCTAGCTAGAGTCGGTGCTTTTTCGGTAGTTCCCACCACCCTTATTTGAGCCTAGAATCTAGATCTAGAATATATCTACATCGAGATCTATACACGTTTGATGCGTGGCGAGCTAATATCAAACCTAACAACTGCAAAACATCAAATTATAGTAATACCCCCACTGAAACCCCCCCACCTTATTTTTCTTAGGTCAGGGGGGCATGAAACCCCGCTACTCTTGGGGCCAAAACCCGCGAATAACAATTGCGGGGTGGAGAACTACCGAAAAAGCGCCCTAGTCTGCCCTACTGGCCCTAGTGTCTTGACTTAAGATTAGGTTATTAGGAAAATGATTTTTATTCTAAGTTGGCAAAGGAATTCTGAGAAAACATGAGCTTCTCAATGAAAAAAAAACGTAATATATTTGATAACACTTTGTAGTTTGACAGTCAAGACAAGTCAATGCATCGGACAAACAAAGAGAGTTGGTCAAGAATCGTGAACACCGTTGCCGTTGTTATTTTGTTGAGCATATTCTACGATTCAACGACATGAGAAAACAGCAAATCGGAGAAGACTTACTTGAAGCCCAAACCACGTAAATGCTGCCCAATGAGTCTCACGATGTCCTGGTCTGTTTTGGACAGATTCTTGCTATTCTGGCCTGTCATCGTTCCGTTTGCTGTTACAGCCCCGTTCGACGTTGAAGCAGAAGTTCTAATGGAGTGAGGATCTACAAGACTTGAGTCCGTCGTCCCATTGTGTTGTGAACAGCCATTGGCCTGCATATTCGTGAGTGAAAACCGCAGTTTTTTGGGCGGTGGGGGCGAAACACCACCGTCTTCTGAATCGGAAGACGATGCCAGTATTGCTTAGAGTCACAATGGTTTGTTATGTCTTATGACACCAAACCAAAGGGCCATTGATGAAGAGTGAGCGACGTTCAGCAACAAAAATAATCCTTGACAAGTCCCAAATGTTTTGCTCTGCGACGTCACTTCCAAATATGAATGCTGGGAACGCCAGCTGACTTCCTACTTTCGCTTTCTCAGATCAGCATGAGCGTTTTCATCTATTTTATTTGTTTGCCTTTGTTATTGTAGATACCTTTTTATATTTGTTGCCTAATATGGATTTCAAAACGTATTTATGAAATAAAAGTGAAGCGTGATATTGTAAATATTTCAACTGATTGTGCCCATGTACTATTTCTTTGTTCCAGTCGTTGCTAAATGTGGGCGGGGCCAATATTACGTTGGTTTATTTTTATCACTCACTCTCTGAAAGGGCTCTCGTCACTTCATTATTATTTTTTTTAAATTTCTTATTATTCTTTTACGTTAACTGGAAACAGAGAAACGAAATTATTGCTAAATATGATTGTTCTACCCTCCAAACCTTGTTTCCCATTGTCGTTATTTAATGAAGTACGTGCCATGCCCCATGAATTCTAGACGCCACGATGATTCAGAGTCGTGAGAGAAATGTTTGAATACTAAAGCACAGAAAACTCATTAAGAACGCCAGAAAAAAAAGAAGGAAAAAGGCATTTTTTTCCTGTAGGAAACCGCCGCTATCTCCCCTACTTCAGCAATTATAGCCTAGCCTACGGTTTAATGACAGGCACACACACACACACACACACACACACACACACACACACACACACACACACACACACACACTCACTCACCTCACACACACACACAAACTCACACACACGCGCGCACACACAGTCACACACACACACACACACACACACACACGCGCGCACACACAGTCACACACACACACACACACACACACACACACATACACACACACTCACGAACACACTGATCGCGCGCTCTCTCAAGCATACACACTCAGACGCACACACGCGCACACACACATGCAAACACACACACGCACACACACACACACACACACACACACACACACACACACACGTAATAATACACATAATAGTATGCATACCTACAGTCGAACCCGTCTTAGACGGAATAGCAGGAAGCCAGAAAAATAAATTTCGTCTCTGACGTCTGACTTTTTCCGTAATTAAAGGAGAATTTAAGAGGGGCAGCTGGTGGGATCAAGGGCTGTTTGTCCGGTCGGCAAGTAGTGGTCAAAGCTCTCAGTCTCAGTAGCCATCGCTTATCTCTCTGATAATGGCATGCGTCAGTCTTACTCTTACACTTATCCATTGCCTCCAGCAGTGCCTCTGTCTCATAGGCCCACCATTTGACCTAAAACAGAAACGATTGAACGTCTCCTTTGCTTCTATACTCTTAGCCCCACCCATCGGTGTAATAAGTGCAGTTAATCAATGCCACCCCTTCGTGCATGTAACAACGATACGAAGAACTTTTTTTTCTCGGCTGGTCGTATGATCAGGGCGGCTGGTATTGTGCAAATTAATTTCACACCTCTGGCCTCAGGCTATCCAGGAAAGTTTTCATACCAGCGCCACCCGAGCACTTTCACAGGCCGGGGTGAGATTTCACACCTACACCACCCTGACCCCTTACACCGCTCAGGGCTCACACACACGGACGGGGGGAAATCGGGAAATCTAATTCCAAGTCACACTCCTACTTCCCTTCCTCGCCTGGTGGCATGACGTAAAGGTTAGGTTAGAGCCTAGACGGTCATCGATAGTATAAGAACGTATAGGTTAGATTATATGACCGCCTAGGTTAGAGCCTAGGCCTTCTCAGGGGAGGCCATATACATCCCGGACGATTGGCTCCGGCATGGAGGCCGGGGTGGGCGACCTTATCTTGATAAGCTCGCCTCGAGACCGGTTCTTATCTTATCGAGGATCAATGTGAAAAGCGGCAATTAAATGCGAAAAGCGGCGATAGGCAGATGCTCTAATACACAGAATTCTACACTTAGTGTAGAATTCTGTGCTCTAATACTAAAACGTATACAGGTGGTGGAACATTTTTGCATTACGCTTTTACGTGCCGATAGTGTAATAGCTAGGCGATCATAAATCCGATTATATGACCGTCTAGTGTAATAGTAATGTGTGTAGTGTGTAGCCGTTTAGTCTGTCTAATCTCCTAGCCTCTTCATTGTTTCGTTCAGTGCTCTTGGGATGTACACGTTTTTTCCGTTTGACTGGATGTATTTTCACTACACTCAATTTTAAGGATTAAATTTGTGCTTACATTTTGTGTTTTAGTGCTCAGCCCAGAGTAGGTTTCTTTCATCTTGAGTGTTATTGTTACTAGATCTAGTCTAATGTTATTGTGAAAAAGTTTTCAGCTGACGTCTCCGTTTCAGCGCAAAGAACCGTGTGAGCAACATTTCAAATTGGAACATGGGAAGAAAGTGTAGGGGATAGGGCTTAAGAAGTGGTTATGCCTGCCAAAAGGGAGATAGCAAAATAATAATATAGATTTCCAAAAGATTTTTTTTAAAAAGCACAGTGGATCAAAAGTGTTCCAAATAAATTAATCATGGTAGAAGATGTCACGGATTACAATGTATAGTACATGGGAGTTTGCTCTCTGCACTTCCCACCTGATGTACCTTTGACACGGGCTGGAAGATTTATAGTGCCCACAAATCCTCCATCAATATTTCCAGAAGTACCACCATCATGTTGTGGCACACCAGCTCCAAAAAAAAAGGGGAAAAAAGAGCAACCACAACAAGTTCAGCTTCTTCTAGAGCTACTGATATTGATGAAATGAATGTATTTAAAGAAAGAGAGATGCCTTCAAGTTCGATTCAGTTTTATCAAACAATGGATATGAATATAATGAAGCTGACAGCCATTGACAATGTTGCAAAGAGTTAAGATTATAATTAAATACACACGTGTCTCGCTCAGCTGAACTCGAGATGGCCCTGTTTTTACATTTTCGATGTATTTTATGGTTGTTCTGAGAAGGCCTAGGTTAGAGCCGATAGAACTTAACTTGATAGTTTTGTTTTAAATCAGGGAAGAATGGGCAAATCATTTTCGGTCATACTTTACTTTACTTTTTTCTTCCGCTTGTACCCTGGGGTGTCGCGGGGAGACACAGGTGTCTGTCTGCAGCAAGTCGTGTGGCCTGTAGGAGGGACATCCCATGATCTTTAAGGGTGTCTGCCC